GTGTGTGTGTGTGTGTGTGTGTGTGTGTGTGTGTGTGTGTGTGTGTGTGTGTGTGTGTGTGTGTGTGTGTCTCCCAAGTTCCCACCACCACACCTTGGCTATGCTGTTCCCCTCCTGCCAGCCTTCCCAGTCCTCCCCACCGGCCCCTCGTTTCCTCCGATTTCCCAGTGCAGTCCCTCCTGGGCTCTCATCCACCCCCCTACCCCCTGCCTTGGGCCTCTGTGAAGCTCAGCTGTCCCTGCAGTGAGGTGGGCGCTAAAAGCAGGATCTCCTGCCTCGCTGTGCAGCTCTGGCTGGCACATTTCCCTCTCTGGGCCTCTGGGGGTGCTCCGGTGGGCACCGCCCAGTCATCCTTGCACTCACCTTTTTCTCATCGGAGTATATAACTTCCGACTTGTCCATGCCCATGCACGCGAGGTGTTCATAGAATTGTTCCATTTGCTCCTTGGTCGCCTCCGGCTTGTCAGCTGCAAGAGGGAGCAAGGGGATTGGTGAGAGGCCTGGGAGGGCTGGGGCCTGGCCTGGGTGGGAGTTTGGGGGGTGCCTACCATAGAAGGACAGCCCCATGTTCTGCTTGTCTTCTGGGAAAGCAAGCATGAAGGTCTTGGGGTCCTTGGGGAGCAGCAGGTAGCCAAAATGTACTTTGCCCTCCGCTGGAAGAGAAAGCCTCTAGGTGAGACCATAGGGACAGCACAGTGGTTCCCTCCTCCCTCCTCACAGGTGAGGAACCTGCGTGTGGCAGGGCCACGCAGCCAATAGGTGAGGGCCAGGGGTTCACCTGGGCCATGTTTCCCTCGCTCCTCCAGTGCACCAGGCCCTGCGCTGAACACTTATGGATGGAATCAGAGGAGCCTCACATGCACTGTGGCTGTCTGGGCCTTTCTCCCCATTTTACAGGTGAGGAAAGCGAGGTTCAGAGAGGAGCCTCAGGGCTCCCAGGTGGTGGTGGTTTAATTCCATTGGCATTTGTGTGTTCCTACTGTGTGCTTCCTCTGCAGTGACGGTGGGGACATGGGTGAAGTCACTGCATCCCAACAAACAGGCTGCCACCCTTAGCTCCCTGAGTATAGCGATTGGTTGAGAGAGGGGCAGGATGGCAGCCAACCTTGGGGTTGAATCCTAGTTCTAACTGTAAGCTGCGTGACCTCAGAGAAACTAATTGACATCTCTGTTGCTCCATTTCCTCATCTGACCACTGTAATGTCCTCCTGGGGTAGTTCATGAGTATTAGGTGGGTTAATTCATGTAAAGCACTTCAAACAGCGCCTGGCACATAGTAAGAGCTCAGGAATGTTGGCAATTTTTATTGATTATTTCAGGGATCCGGCACTGGGCCCGTGGAGATATAAGAAGTGGCCTCTCCCACCTTTTCCACACCCAAAGCCCCCAGGCCCTATCATTTAGGCTGGTCCACCCACCATCCCCCCATTCCACATGGCAGCCCTTCCCTGAGGGCTCACCAAATTTGGCCAGGGTCCCATTTTCCCGGTCGACCTTCACACTACTGGAGTTATAGATGCACTGGTTCCCACTAAAGCCAGGCAGAAGAGGGGAGAAACAGAGTTAAGCCAGTCAAGGGGAGTGGACAGTCACAGTCACTGGGGGCAAGAATTGGCTCCCATTCCCTGAATGCTAAGGCTGAGGCCAGGAAGAGGGAGGGGCTTGCTCGAGGTCCTGGGGCAGCTGGGAGGAGAAGCCAGGAGCTGGGGCTGGGGCTGGGGCTGGAGCTGGG